TCATGTTTTGTTTTTTTTTTACAATTTTAGAACTATATCTTTTTCTGATTTTAGGCGTTATATCTTCTTTTTCACTATTATATTTTCTTAAATAATTGAAAACATTATTTTGTTGACTACGTTTGTACTTTTTTTGTACACTACAACCTGTAAAAGACTTAAAATGAGGAATAAATTTAGCAACAAAAGCAAGAGTTATTTCAATAAGTTAACTATTTTTGGAAATAACAATAAGTTAACCATTTTTGGGATGACATGAAGAATCTTGGTAACTTATTCAAGAGATAAATTACAAATAAATCTACAAATAGTTTTATGCTTTATGTTTACGAGAGTTAGTTAGATAAAACGCATTTATGAGTAATGCATTAATTTTTATAATAAATAAGTTATTCAAAACTGTAGTTAAACCTGACTTATATAAAGTTATCCAGTTAATACCAATTTTTAAAAGTTTGTTCTTCAGTGAGACCTATATCAGTGATATAAAACAACAGCAAGCTGCTTTATTAATATCAGGTTTGTTAAGTTTTAATATCAGTAAATTAGCTTATCTTTATTATGAATTAAAAAATATATATAAATACCATTTTTAAATTGATATTTCTGAAATTATACAAAAATATTCAAGTTAAAAACAAGTTTTCAGCTGCGGTGGTGTTAGTTCATCTATGTCTTTTTTTTAATTTTTTATAGATTGCTTTTTCTTTATATAACGATTTATGTCAGCTTATATTTTTCTTACCTTCATTGTTTATTATTATATATGCATTTATACATCATAATTTTCTTTTCATATATCTTTAATCATCCTTATTTTTCTAATTTTTAATTATTCCTCATTGTGTACAAATATACAATGTACATATATACAGTGGTTAAAACCTCATAGATAAACTAACTGAAATGGATTGTATAAAAATTATAAAGCGTGTACACGACATAAATGTGAAAGAATAAGTACGTCATTTTTTTTCGGTGGTTATATTAAATTTTTTTTTGTTTTTTGTTTACAACGTGTTGTGGTTTCAAAAAAATGTATTAGTTTTTTGATTTAACTTAAAATTAGTTTTAAAAATGACAAAAGAAGAAGGCATAAGAGAAAAAATTATGCACAAATATTTTGGAAGTCCTAATAGTAGCTACAATTCGATAGCAAGAGCGTTGTAAATACATCCATACACCGTTTGTCGTGTAATCCAACGTTTTTCTCAAACAAAATCGATTAAACGTAAATCTAGTGATGGAAGAAAGAAGGGTTTTAAAGATAAAAAACTAGTTAGAAAACTGGTTAACAGTTTTAAGACTAACATAAGCCTTTCACTAAGGGAGCGCGCAAACATTTATGAACTTTCTCATAGTTTTGTTGTAAAGGTTCGAAATAAACATGGTTTTCATTCTTTCAAAGCACAAAAAGTGCCCAACCGATCTGAAACTCAACAAAAAAGTGCAAAAACCCCGCTGCAGAAAGTTGTATGACAATTTTATTTTTAAAAATTTCTCTATTATTGAAGACGATGAAACTTATATCAAGTACGATCATTAGCAAATTCCTGGTGCCGTGTATTATATTGCCAAATATAGAGGAAAAGCAGATAAAAAATTTAAACACATAAAACACGACAAGTTTGCTAAAAAAAGTCTTGATTTGGCAAGCTATTTGCAGTTGTGGCAAAAAATCAGCACCTAATATTTCTCAGTCCACACGTTCGGGTCAAATATATGTTAAAGAGTGTTTACAAATACGCCTTTTACCACTTATTAAATCACACGATAAGAGATCTGTGTTCTGGCCAGATTTAGCTTCAATTCATTATTTTAAACTAGCTTTGGAATGGTATAAAAATAATAATGTGAAATTTTTGCCTAAAACTGAAAATCCTCTAAACTGCCCAGAATTAAGAGTTATTGAAAAGTACTGGGCCGTCATTAAAAGAAAAATTAAAAAATCAAAAAAAAATTTGCAGAAATATTAAAGATATTAAATTATCATTTAAAAAAGAATCAAATGGTATAATAATATAAAAATATAACTGAATAAACTAAAAAACATTTCCTTTAATTCCATAATATTTAACTTTTTTAGGAGAATTTGGTGATCGATTGTATCAAAAGCTTTTGATAAATCTATAAAAACTCCCAACGTATATTTGGAATTTTCAAACAAATCAGAAATACTACAAGTTATATGAAGCATCGCGTGTTCTGTTGATGTATTTTTTTTGAACCCGTATTGATAAGTATAAAGTATATTATTTAAAGAAAGGTGATTATAAATTACGTTATAAAGGATTCTCTCTAACACTTTAGAAAAAACAAGTAAAACAGAGATTGGGCGATAATTTGTAAGATTTGTAGTATCACATTATTTGAAAATTGGTGTGACTTTTGCTATTTTAAGATGGTCTGGAAATATTCCCTGTTTTATTGAACAGTAAAAAACTTTAAATAGTACATCTTTCAAATGTTCATACGAGTCCATGACCTCATTACTAAATATATTGTCGTGACCGTCAGATTTATTAGACTTTAGCAATTTAAAAGATTGTTCAAATTCTTCAAAAGATAATTCTAAGGAAGTTAGAGACGAAGTTAACGGAAAATTGAAGTTATCCATTTTATTTATTACAAATGGAATTTATTTTGCAAGATTTGGGCTAACTGACACAAAGAATTTATATA